AAATACATGATAGGACTCTGTTGTAAACTGTTTTGTTATACTTTCAGGGAACTTTTATAGTATAGATTGACATTTTTAACGACCAGTAGGAATTGTTATTTTAGTCATTAGATTAATTTTTCAAGGGTATGATTTATAGTGTTCAAGTAAAAAATTTACAGTATCCCCACATAGAACTATTCTAATCACACGGAACTATTAGTACTATGCATTTGTTTCATAGATTCAACTTCAACTACTATTCAAACCCTTTTGTTATAGTATTTTTTTCTCACAAATTTTAAGTTTATATTTTAATTTTTTTATTCAAACGTATGAACTCAACAAACCCTTAATTTAACGGTTAAAAAATAACTATAAAAATTCTCATAATTTTAATCAAATTTAATGTTTGAAAACATAGGTCACGTTCATTTCATCAATTCAAGTTTTGTTACAATAAAAAGCTTTAAAAAATAATCATATCTAACTTTTTATTACAGTAAAATTTTTTTATAAAAAGTCTAAACAGGCCCATAAATTATGTCAAAAGTACGGGTATATCCGAACTTAAAAAGCCATCCATGTGTGGTAATGGGAGTGAGAGGGGGGACATTTTCAAGAGCCCGAAAAACACAACAGTTGGTATTTGTGTGGCACAGTGGTCACAGCTACTTGTCCTTCTCAGTTGGGTAGCCATCATCCAGTGATCTCATAATCCACTTTTTTTCTCTTCCCCGTTTGGCCCCTCTCACTCGCCTATTTCTGTGATCTTTCTTTGGATTTTGCTTGGATTTTGTGTGTCTCACGTGATTCTCTTAACTGCTTCCCTTTCATTCAATTCTGTCTCGCTCTCTCTCTCTCTTTGTCTCAGCCTCTCTGTACCAGTGGGCTGGGCCTCAGACTTGTAGCATATATAGCTGTCCAAAATTTTCAAAACAAATGTTACAATTATAATATAACACCAAACAATCGAACAAGTTTTCCAAGTTGGAAGAAAATCACTCCTCTGACTCAAGTCTCAAACACACATGAAAACAAAACAACATAAATACAGAAAGCAAGAGGAACTTTAGACGAATATAGGCATTGTCCATTGAGTATGTTATACGAGAGCTACTAACATATAATAACAAAATAAAGAAAACCCTAACTGGTCATGTAAATTCTATGAAACTGTTCAAATTTTTGTCAACAAGGTTTGGTAACAGAACGGAATGTCACAATGACACATTAAAAACAAAAGAATTGTGACATTCCAGACAAAACCCAGGTTATCAACTTTTTTTTCAAGCTTTGTACCGCAAGGGGTAATCATGACTAGTGTTTACATTTGATTAAAATCATATAAAATAAAAAAGTTACATACATACCCGATTACGTAACTTAATATAAACTTAAGTTATGTTCATTTCACCGATTCGAATTTTGTTACAGTCACATTTAACTTCTTTACTACAGTAAAAAATTCTCACATAAAATTACATATAAACTCAAATCAGTAAATTAAATGAGACTTTATAATACAAAACTCTATATCTTACTTAGATATTTTACATTTTGTTTATTTACTTTTTTTTTTCTGTTGGGTTCCCTATGTAACAGTTTTCTACTGTTTGTCTTCCAAAACAGTGTTTCTTTCGATTTGGATCTGTCTCTCGTGAAATCAACATCTCCTCTGACTAAAATTGAAGACATAGAATTACAAGCTGGACAAACGCTGCCATGTTTTTACTTCCTCACTTGTGGCAAACCCTTTTTCCCCGGTTTCTTCAGTAATCTATTATAATCAATTTTGATATATTAGATATTAGATATACACATAAGAAAAAAAATAAATAAATAACTGACAAGGGAAAATTAATGTGTGCGAAAGTTTTGAACTGTGAATGGGATGGCCAACAGCGACGGCAATAAATTGATTTCTATTCTTTCGTTTTTGGGATTGAATCGTTTCCTTATATATTAATCTTTCCTTTAGATTTTCGAAATTAAATTGAATCAATTTCGTTATTAAGAAACAAATTTTTATTTCGTGAAAAACTAAACAAAGGAAGTGGAGGAGTTCTCAATCTTACTACGTAAAAAGTAAAAACTCCTCTATTGTCATGACATTGTTTTGTACTCATCCATATATATATATATGTATGAGCTATATTATATGACTGAAATTCTGAATGTTTATCTCCCATAATACTTTTTTTTTTTTTCGTCATACCCATAAGACTTGTTTATTAGGTTGTGATGAATTGGGGGGAAAAAAAAAAGCACTACTAACCAAACCCATGTACATATGTTTCACACTGAAAATGTTGGTGAAAATGAAAGCATGAAAGTGAATTGTGGATGGCAGACTAAAGCCCATGCCTCGTGCATTATAAAGAAAACGAAATAATAATAATAATAATAAAAAGAAAAAAGAGAGAAAAAAAGAAGAAGATAAAATAAAAATGAAAAGGAAAGCAAAAACAGTACACACAACACAAAAAAAGCTTATAAGTGGTCTGAGTGGGTAGTGGTGATGGATACACTCATGATTACCATATAATCAAAAGAATCCGGCCCCCTTCTTCCAAACCCCATGCACGCACCCACACTCACTCCCTAGTACTTGCAATTTATTCCCTCGCAAACTCGGCCTTTCTTTCAAGGTGGTTCAAAACAAAATCATTTGCATTTGAAAATCTGTCTCCTCTGAAAACTTTCATGCACATTTCTCATGCAAAAAGGCGACTCCTTTGGCAAACACAACACGGAACAACACTGAGTGAAAGTGCAATTAGATAACTTCTCTAACATTTTGATCAGCATAAATTAGATTTTTTTTGCCTTTTTTTTTAATTAAAAAAAAAGACAGATAGAACAGAGATATTACATGTAAACATGCATGCATGAATAAAATGGAATAAAAAATTACATGCCAATGACAAGGGAATTAACAAGATAATTAATTCATAGATGACGAGATTACTTGAGGCCTTATAATATATTACTCATTATAGAATTGGACCTCATCGTTATTCCCCACGATAAAATACTTAAAACAAAGAAACTATATATTTAATTAAGCATACCAAACTGGATAGGACGAGGCAAGGATAATCTTATTTAATGTTCCCTAAGGCATGTGCTTAATCACATTACTAATTTGGATGCTTTTTTACGTATACATGCGACAAGAACAGGGACATATAGCAACTTAATTGAATGTGTTTGGTTCCTAATTGTAAGCTAGAAGTTGAAATTATGTAAGCTGTGAAAACAACCTAATGAACGGCGCAATATGATAAATGATATACGTTTGTAATCAGCATTTTCATCAAAGTCTAAAAGTTACGTCTTATATCACCAGGTAGATATGGCTATATATATATATATATTAATGTATTATAAAATAAAATATTTTTCGCCTCAGTGCATGTGACATTACAGAATGAAAACAAACGATAAGGACTTTAATATATGGGAAGGAAATAAGATTGCATTTCCACAAAAAGCTCGTCTTTGGGGGGGCCTTTGTTCATCATTCTTGGAATATTTCAAGCTTATCAGAGACCCACTTCCCACTTTTTTGTCTGGAAGCAGGTGTTGACTATAATACCAATTTGCCTTAGAAAAAGTAAATGGAATTTCTGTTCATTTAATTTATTTTTCTTTCCTTCAATTAAAGAACGAATTGAAACACCTTGGCTGTGACGCGTTATAATGAGAGTGATTCTGCCACAGTACTCTAGTTCCTGTTGGCAAAACTTCTTTTTGTTTGTTCATTTATTTTTTCTGGTGAAGAAAATGCCTTTTTGTTTCATTATTGACGGTTGTATACAGTTTTTTGGGTATTGCACGAGTTTCACACAGATCACATATAATGTGTCTTTGATTAACGTAATAATTCCCTAAGCCTCCATGACTCCATGAGCATGAAAAGTGTTTAATCAAACATATGAAGAATATGTCAGAATTATTTGGTTTAACAGATTTTATTCACGTCTCACTTTGAAACCCCAATATTCTTAATATTTTAACCATAATAACTATGTCAGTGGACATTTTTTTTTTATTCCCTCCCTCTGTATTGCGTGTTGCTATTTGCATTTAAATGGCCTCTTTCCACTTTGATGAAATAAAGCCATTTTTATTTCCCATTTCCTTCTCTCTTTCTCTTGCTCACAATTTTTCTTTTACTCAAAATCTTGCTACAGTACATGGGAAAAAAGAGAAGTACTTAAAAATAATTATTTGCTCTGTAAATATGCAAACCTGTCATTTATAAAGCATTACAGATATTTTACCTTCATAAAATTCCACCCAAATACACTTTTATTGTTATAATTATTTTTCATTCTGTTAATCGTGCTTAGAAGAATATCCCAGCTCGGATACAGATGGCAGTCACTGCCCACATCATCACTGTCAAGAAGAAAAATAAGGCTTAATTGTATGAGGGACCAGATCAATCAAAATTACCCCCACAGCCACACAAGGCTCCAATCTCGTATCCAAGCCGACGGTGGTGATGGGCTCTGACCATTTTATGGTCACAGCTGTCTTGACACTAGTAATTTTCATTTTTTAATATAATATAATATATATATATATATCTCCTGCTGTTTGATTTTGATTTGAAAGCTGTGAACCAAAGTGGAGCAGCAATTTTATTTTTAATGCGTTAAAATTATATTAAAAATTATTTAATTTTTATATATTTTTTAATTTAATATGATTTTAATTATATTTAATAATTAAAAAATTAATATATTGATAGAATGGTCCACCCAAAAAGTCCAAAAAAAAAAAAAATTTTAAAGTAAAGTTTTTCTTTTATTAAATAAATATTTAATAAGATCCTTTGAGTCGCAGAGTGGTGCAGAAGGCTGCACTGTATGAAGTGACTGGATGGGCAGATGTCCTGCTCGTCAAATCTATCTAAGGCTCTGTGACTGTAAAATAAAGCAAACTAGTTTTGGATATTGGACACCACATTCTCACTCTCATTGGCTATTTCACACCCACTAGATTCATTTCAACCCACTGCTTTCATTTAAGAGAGAGAGAGAGAGGTTATAAGTTGTGTATAAGTTCCGAGTTATCTGGGTAATGAGGGTGCTCAAAAGATTTTTGATGGCTTATACTATTTATTAAGTGGTGATCTGGGTTTTTGTTAGGGTTTAAGGAGGAAAAAGAAAAAAGAGAGAGAAAAGAGGAAGTGTGGAACTGTGGTAGCGAGAGAAACAAAAAGAAAAACAAAACAAAGCAAAGCAAAGCAAAAGTCGTGGTCTTTCTCCCATACACAGATCCCTATGACCAACCCCCAAAGCATTACTTGCTACTAGTATTCATTCTTTTTGTTTAGTTTAAAGAGACCACCGATCTCGTTGTCTTTAGAGGGGAAAAAAAAAAAGAAGAGAAAAGAAAAGAGAGAGTTTTCTAGTGAAGAGTGAGTGAGTGAATAAGATATGGAGAGAATTTCGGTGGGTGGTGTTTTCAGTTGAGTTTCGTAGCTACAAAACAAAAGAGGGAGAGAAGGAAAAAAAAAAAAAAGAAAAAAAAAAAGACCCAAGTGTTCTCAGAGAGGAAGACGAGGCAAGATAGATTTTGACATGATTAGTTTATTTCCTCCCAATCATTGAGTTGTGCCCTTGCCTCTCAGTCGAATATATACTAGTAGCAAGTAAAAAAAAAAAAAAAGAAAAGGAAATCTTGGAAGCAAGAAAAACAAAAGAAGAGAAGATGAAGCAACAAGCCATGAATGATCAAAACAACAGCAACAATAACTGGTTGGGATTCTCTCTTTCACCCCAAATGAAAATGGAGCTCAGTAGTACTTCTTCTGATCTTCACCATAATCCTTATCGTCACCAAGTTCAGAGTACTAGCACTACTACTACTACACCTTCCTCTTCTGCTGTTCCCACAAGCTTCTATCTCTCCCCTTCTCAGCTCACCAACTGGGTCGGAGAAACCGCTGGTTTCCACTCTCCTCTTTCTGTAATGCCTCTCAAATCCGACGGCTCTCTTTGCATCATGGAAGCTCTCTCCAGATCACAACCAGAAGGTTAGTTAGTTCACCAAAAGAAAAAAAAAAACCCCCACTTCCTTACTTTTACACTTAAAATGGCTTTTAAAAAAATTTTGATTGATTTGAACAGGAATGGTGCCAAGTTCATCACCAAAGTTAGAGGATTTCCTAGGCGGAGCAAGCATGGGAGCTCATGATCAGTACGGAAGCCAAGAGAGAGAAGCAATGGCGCTGAGCTTAGACAGCATCTACTACAACAACAACAACCACAACGCAGCTGATCATCACCATCATCACCATCATCAGTCGGCTCAAGAAACCAACAGAGACAACAACCCACACCCACTAGATCTCCTCCAACACCCATTCAGACCAAACCAACAACAACAGTATTACTCCGGAATCCCTTGCCACGGAATATACCAAACCCAACTTGGGGAAGTATCCGGCAAGGACATGCACACCATAGGGGAGTGTGATCCCGAAATCTCCTCAAACTGGGTGGCGGCGGCTGCTGCGGCGGCGAGGCAATACTCCGGTCATCATTCGTTGGAGCAGCAGCAGATGAATGGGAGTACTAATGTGGTTGAGGAGAATAATAGCGGTGGAGTTTCTGGGCCTGTCGGTGGTGGGATTGGCTGTGGGGAGCTACAGTCGCTTACGCTGTCCATGAGCCCTGGGTCTCAGTCTAGCTGTATAACAGCTCCGAGACAAATATCACCAACTGGAACTGAATGTATGGCCATGGAGACAAAGAAGAGAGGCCCCGGGAAGGTCACTCAAAAGCAGACTCCTGTTCATAGGAAGTCCATTGACACTTTTGGCCAGCGAACTTCTCAGTTTAGAGGCGTCACAAGGTTGGTAACTAGTTCAAAAACATAAACAATCTTCCCATTTTAATAATTATTATTGTTATGTTTTTAATCACCATTTTTTTAGTTGTTTTATTGTAACACTTTTTTTTTTTTTTTTTTTTGCATTGGGTTCAATTTTTAATTTTACCAGACATAGGTGGACTGGAAGATATGAGGCGCATCTATGGGACAATAGTTGCAAGAAGGAAGGGCAAACAAGGAAAGGAAGGCAAGGTTGGTCGAGAAATTTCTTTTCCTTTCTTTTATTTTTTAATGAGAGAGAAAAAAAATAAAAGAAAAACGGCTCTTTGTGTACATGTTTGGAAGCATTTCATTTTGTGACTGCAATTCTTGGTCCCTACCTGCTGATGATCTGACTTGTGCCATTTATTTCTTGCTTGTCACGTTCGTTCTTCCCATGGATGCCATTCAAATCAAATTTATGCGTATATCAGTTTATCTGGGTAAGCCTTGGTTGAAATTAATTAAGAAGTTTGTTTTAATGTATAAGTATAGATATCAATAAATTCAAATTTCTTGTGTGTTACTTCAGGAGGATATGATATGGAAGAGAAAGCAGCAAGAGCTTATGATCTTGCAGCCCTTAAGTACTGGGGACCCTCTACCCATATAAATTTTCCGGTATGTTTTTACTTCAAAAATTCTGTACTTTTATGTTTAATTTCTTGGTTGCTAATTTTTTATTTTTTATTTTTTTGTCTGTTATTCAGTTGGAAAATTATCAGACGGAACTTGAGGACATGAAGAAAATGACCCGCCAGGAGTATGTTGCGCACTTGAGAAGGTAAGGACAAATAATTTATTCTTACAAAATACACAGTTTATGAGTTCAATATTTTGGGGTCAATGTTCATGTGGTTTTGCTTTACAGGAAAAGCAGTGGATTTTCTAGAGGGGCTTCAATGTACCGGGGAGTAACAAGGTTTTTCTTTTTTAATTAAATCCCAAAATTTTCTTTTTTAATGAAAAATGTAAATCATTTATTACTAATAAATTTATATATATATATATATATATTTTTTTTTTGGTTCTTTATTATCTTTAGACATCACCAGCATGGTAGATGGCAAGCTCGTATTGGCAGGGTTGCTGGAAACAAGGACCTGTATCTTGGGACCTTCAGTAAGTTATTCTTAGCTTTACTTGTTGTATTGTATTGTATCAAATAAAATATAAATAAATACTCCTTTTTTGATATTGATCGATTATTCCCGCACTCACTTTTAACCTCATTACCTTCAACATGTTACATGTGAAAAAGGGGTGTTGTCTCACACTCACTGTAACTAAAAGAACCAACTTTTTGAGCACTTCAAATTTGTTGTGACGCCCCTCTGTTCTTATGTTTCCACTAGCGACATTTCTTCTTTTATAAGGCTGATCCATGTCCGCTTTGGGACTCTGCAAAGAATGAAACTTTTTTAAGGCTGCTCTTGTTCTCTCTGAAAAATAATGAGATGATATAAAAGAAACAAATAGATTTTCTCGTTCCTAGGTCATCTAAAACTTACGCCTGATTAAATTAGCTTCATTAATAACCCAAAAATTGATCAAATTTTAGGTACACAAGAGGAAGCAGCCGAGGCTTATGACATAGCCGCTATAAAATTCCGCGGCGTTAACGCCGTAACGAATTTCGAGATAACAAGATATGATGTGGAGAAAATCATGGCCAGCAACACGCTTCTCGCGGGAGAGCTCGCTCGGAGAAACAAAGAAACTGAGCCGAGCACTGATCATAATCATCATCATCATCATCAACATCAACATCAACATCAGGCCGTTGATTACAACCCATCATCGCAGATGAACGGTGAAATCAACGACAACCCGGAGAGTAACAGCCTTGGTAATGGTACTGGTCCTGACTGGAAAATGGCTCTGTACCAGTCACAAAACCCCTGCCTTGATTCACTTGACCAGAAATCTATTAGCTCCGGGAGCTATCGAAACGCGTCGTTTTCGATGTCGTTGCAAGACCTCATTGGAATTGACTCGGTGAGCTCTGGTGCACAGCAGCCGTTGGTGGAACATCAGGAATCGGCCAAGCTAGGGGCTAGTACTCATTTCTCTAATCCGTCGTCTTTGGTGACCAGTTTGAGCAGCTCAAGAGAAGGTAGCCCAGATAAAACGGGCCCCACAAATGCGATGCTCTTCGCAAGGCCTCCTTTGGCATCAAAGTTTATCAATCCAACAAGTGGTGTTAGCTCTTGGTTTCCCTCACAGTTGAGGCCGCCAACGGCTATTTCCATGGGACACCTGCCTGTTTTTGCTGCTTGGAATGATACCTAGAACTAAGAAAGGGTCAAGGAGGGAGGAGCAAACCAAAAAAAAAAAAAAAAAAGAAAGAAAGAAAAAGAAGAAGCTGTTTTGTAATTTTTAATCATGTAAAGTTTTGCATGGAAAAGGCAAGGAATTGGTTGTGGTGTTGGGGGATTGAGAGTGAAAAAAAGGTTGAAGGGGTTGAAGATTTTGATTATTATGTTATTATAAGGGTGTTATGGAGGGAAAATTTGTGGTGGGTTTAAGGAGGGACAAGGGTGGGGACCACTTATCTGTCTGTAACTAAAGTGTTGGAAACTTTTTTCAAACAGAACCTTTTGGCTTCATATTCGGAATATGGAGGATTTTGCAAAATGGAGGGAAAGCAAAGATTAAGGGGGCACCTAATGATTAAATTCTTGTGAAATGATGTGGGCAATATGGAAATGGAAGTGACCTCTTTGGCACTGCATAATTGAATTTTGCTTTTTTACCTTTTCTTAGGTCCTCCTAAGTACAAAACCAGCTCAATGTTTCCCAATAATGCAAAAGGAAGTCTTGTTTTGACCGCACCAATACGTAATATATCTCATTTCATAGCCCCAATCTGTTCCTCAATATGCATTACACCATCATTGCTAATGCCTTTCTTATCTAAGAGACCTTTCCTCAAAGGCAACAGACATTCCCATTTCATTATTCGAAAAAGTAATACATGGAACCGATTTTTTGACGATCAACTACACTTTCTTTAGACCTTTAATGTGTACATATATATATATATATAACGGTCATAATTAGATCATATTGCGCCTTGTCTGCTATTTATGTCAAAAGCGGATGTGCGTGGGATTAAAATTTTTCGATTGATCGCTTTTGTAGTTCCCACTTGCGGTGTAACCTTTACTAATTAATCCAAAGATGAAAAAAAGTTATTCCATGTCCTAATGTGAATGATTATTTAACAAGACACTGTATATGTAATGCAAGTGGTATGATTAATTCCCACGATTACACATCTTGCCATGCACGTGTGAACTCCATTAACGCAATCTTGACCGGTACTAATACTATTTGCCCAAATGATCATGAAGAGGACAACAAGGACAATATGCCGGAGGAGCTGCAAACTATCACTTCAATGATTGTGTAAAAACAGTACTCGGGAGCTTTTACGGTTTAACTGGTTTTTTTTCCCTATTTATATATATATATATATATATAAATATATAACAAGTATCTATATATTTATCAATATTCCGAATCATATCCCGTTCGGTTCGTTAATTCGAACTTTTAATTCGAATTGAGATGTGATGTTATGTGAGAGCTTTTTACTGTAGTAAAAAAGCTAGATGTGACTGTTTCTGAGAGTTTTTTACTGTAACAAAATTTGAATTCTAAACTCGAATCAGCGAAAAGAACGAGGCATGCCTTAATTTCTCAAACTAAAGCTAAAGTGAAGTTGTACAACATTTAAAAGCTCTTGCTTTGCATGCTGCAAAAGAATGTTGGGAATTTCCGGCAGATATACGTTTGCGTGTGTGTATTAGTGTTCGGAGTTCATTCTTACTTTTCTCTCCTAACAAGCAGGGATGATAAAATTAAAAATAGCAATGCATATAACATTTACACAAAGATTATATTCCATGAAGACTGTTATTTCAATTAGTAGCTATACAAGTAATGACACGCACCACATTCATAAATATATACATATATATATATAAATATATATATATTTTTTCATGTAAATTACATTTTTGTTCACTGACTCCTCGCCTGAAACATTCAGGAATCTGACAAACAGGTCCAAACTGGGGCCAGAACTAAATGCAGGAAAACAACAGAACAAATCTAAGTAGTAAATTAAAAAAAAAAAAAAAATTTTGAGGTAAATGACTTGTATTGCTTCATAAACGTATTACATGATTTAATATTATGAGTGCTTAATTAATTACTAGTGAAATAAGTGAGAAACACATATATTCCAAGATATTGGAATCTCGTCAATGTGTTATACAATGTACTATTCATCGGTGTAAGTTAAAATGGAGAAAAGAAAAGAAATCAAGAATGAGTTGGGAAAGAAAAGGTGCAAAGAAAGCGAAATACCCCGACAACCATGACATAACAAAGAAAAGTACCTCACAGTAAGGAAATCGATCATATGGTCAAAAAGAATGCAAGTGTTGTGGAAAAAGATTGCAAAGCAAACAGGCATAGTCTCATTTTTAACGAAAAAGTTAGCATCACTTGTGTGAAGTTTTTCTTCAACGCACCTTTGGGCTTAGTCAACAAATATGATTATGTTTTTGTTGCTTACAGGTTGGATAAGCAAAACCATATATTTACAAATTCTGCGTAAGACAGAAAACTTTAAAAAGTAATGGCTTCCTCTTAGTTGCACACGAGCTGTAGTGACATAAACATTGATTAGCATATTTGAACGAACATAATTATGAAAGTAGTGTTTCGATCGATGACTTTGAACTTTGCGGAAAGCCAGAATCAAGGAGCGAGAAATTGCATGTTTGTGATGAAAATATGGGAAACATGAACATATGCAACCATGTGAACGCGGTAGGTAAATGAGGTTCACCAACAATAGATGTTAAGGCGATGTCATGCGTGTATATATAAATATATTAAGGGGTAACGAAGAGACATATATATTGTGTCATTTTCAAGTACTGTTTTTGAGATTTTCTGGTGGCCTAAACACGCTGTAGAAATCACTTGGATAAATGCAAATTACTTGTACGACACTTTGAAAAATGGTCTGCTATGGTAAAAAAAATAAAAAAATAAATAAAGATCTTATATCCTATTGTTAGTGTTGATTTATATAAATAACGTGAATTCAGATAGATAGTGACCGTACAGACCAAACTGAATTAGTACCTTTGGAGGGTGATAATTAAATTAACAGATTGATGATGGCAGAAACGTCTAAGAGATTGTTTTCATAATAAGCCAAAAAGAAAACCAATTTTTTCTTTTCTAGACAAAAAAAAAACAAATTAATAAAAGTATAGGAGGGATATTAAAATAAAAAAAAAATCAACACCGCACTAAAACAGGATAATCGTGATATATGTATTCTAATTTGCTCGCTTAAAGTAACGAGTGTGTCAAAGTAATAACCTTGATATAATATCTTTTTTAAGTGGAATTTTTCAACCCTTTTTTTTGTCACTTCACGAGTCTTAATTCATAACAACAAAAAGGAGACCTATAACCTAGTCCCGGTGACTGGAAATTAATTTTCACAGTGGGCAAAGGAGTGCTTGGTAGATGGGCTTTTATCATGTGTTGTTGTTTTCTGTTTTCCTTTTTAAAAAATTGGAACATGCGCATGCTATCAATAAATCTTTCCGGCGTGAAAAAGAAAAGGAAAAAGAAACGAAAGGAATAAGCAAGTTTAAGCCACTGCTGGTAATGGGAAAAAGTTTTTGACAACGTGAAAGTCCAAACTGCCACATCAATTTCCCATATATACAATCGAACTGCTTATCTATTATATGGGTCGACTAATCACAAGCATGCACTAATGACTAGAGTATTTGTTGTATATAACTAAAAACATCATTAAAACTTCAGACAATAATAATTAATTTCCAAAGATAGATAACGAACTATGTATTTCATTAGAGGACGGTCCAAACTTGTACGTAAGCGATTCGTACTCTCTGGCCTAGCTAAATGGTCCCATTCTTCTATATATGCATAGGGTTTTGTTACATTGTTAGATATATTGAAAACCACCAATCTAGCAAGAACTTCTCTCACTGCATGGTGCGACTCATAGTTCTCAGGTGGTGTACGTAATTATTTGTCTAGTGTACACCATCGCCGAGGATCGAAAAGGACAATCTGGGAAGGACGTAATTTGCATATATATATATATATGTGTATATATAATAACATTTGATAGTGAAAGAATAATGGATTGCTCCCCTCGGAGGATTCCTGTTTCTTCCCAGGATACCTACGATTACCATTTATTTTCCCTCCAAATAACCTCCCATCACCTGCCCAGCTGATCAGCTCATCTGTTGGCCGGTTTGGACCACAATATCTTCTTGGAGTTTTCACAATGTTTTGTGGACCTTTTTTGATATTGACTATACTATACCACTTGTTGTGTGTGTGTGTGTGTATATATATATATATATATATATATATATACACACACACACACACACACACATATCTATTTATATATGCGTTTTCTAACCTGTTTTTTTTTTTTTTTTTTTTCATGCATTAGATTACAATTTTCAAATTCCACTTATAAGGTGTTTACTTATGGCCTATATATGCGTTACAAATGTTGAAGAGTACTGTGGCATCCTCGACTGGTATATTGAGAAGTTGTCATCTAAATCATATTAATGAACGATGTTGTCGACGCTGCTGAAACTATTATAATATTGGTGAATAATGTTGCTCAAACTTTCTTATCTAGATGAACCGTATCTCGACCACATTTTTTATTACTTGGCTGCAATTTCTACACGATACATATGTCGGTTGCCATATATAAAATTCCGCTGCTTCAAATTGAATATTTTGGGATAGTGCAAATAGATGCGTTATATTCACATTGGTCCCATCTCAGGCTTTTGCATTACAAATTTACAATCAGTACATTTGAATTAACGTGACATTTTATTTCCTTTTCATTTTTTTTTTTTTTTTTGGTTCTTTCTCTAGGTGTGTTCCCCATAGAATGTCCCTCGAAATATTCCCTTTTCCTTTTTTATCCCTCTGGGGCAAAAAAAAAAAAAGAGAGAGAGATAGAGATATTTGATTAAATGTGACAAATTTTTGTTCTAGGGTCTCCAACTTTTGAACTATGACAATTAGGTCACCATTTTGAAAAGGGTTTTTGGCACAATTATCCACCGAATTTGCCGTGATTTAGAAAATTACCCTCTAAACTTTTAATTTTGACAAGTTGTTTCTCGAATTTATAAATTTATTACAATATGTCTCATTTAATTAAATTTACTCAAATTTTTTATTAGATTTAAGAGATTAAAAGTTGAGATATTGAAATATTTGTGTTACATTTGTATTGAAATGTTGAAATTTTTTACTGAACATAGTTTTTTAACACTAATTTAGCACAATGATTATCAAAATGGGACATGTTAGAACAACTTTATAAGTTGAGGAGACAACTTATCAAAATTAAAAGTTTAAGGGATAATTTACTAAACCACAACAAGTTTAGGAGGCAAATGTGATAAAAATCCTTTTGAAAATCTTTTTAGAGTTTGTTAACTCCTTTTGAACGTATACTCAAAAAAAAAAAAAAAAAAAAAAAAAAAAAAATTCTTTTGAACGTGCAATTTACATGTCAATTTGACTCTTTCACTCATCAAAATTTAAAAATAAAAAAAAAATTCCTAAATTAAAATCAAAATCATATTACAAATTAAAGTTATTCAAGAAAGGAGGTTAGGGGCACCAATCCTATAGGCTTGCTGTCAAAGGGGACAGGAGAAGATCTGGTCAGGTTTACCTGTTGACGCTCGTGTCGCTATTGCAATAGCGGGGAGTTCTGGCCCGTCGTCATAAGGGGCGCTTGGGCTTGCCGCTTGCGATCTCCTGGC